CAAGAGGAGAAGCCAAGCTCAGCAAATAAAGGAAGAAGTTTTCAAAGAACAATTAAGTAAACTATTTGACATTGCTCATGCAAATGCTTTGACAATGATCAAAATTGAAGAAGATCGGCAATTCCTTCTAGCACAACGAGATGGAAGGAAAGGATACTTGGGTAGAGTTGATAAAGAACTAGCAGCAAAAGAAGTCCGCTTGGCAATACGAAAAGAAGAAGAACGTGCTCGCTTTTCAAAAGCTTTGGCACAGAAAACAAAAGAAGATGAAAAACAAGGAATGAATCCGCCATTCTCATCATCATCTGAGTCTGAGGAACAAGTAAATTCTTCAGCGTCAGAGTGTTCTCCTCCCAAAAAATCAAAACCTGGGAAACCACGTGCAAAAAACATAATGTCCCCTGTTCTGGCCAAAGCACTAGATCGCACCAAGATTAGTGATCGTGATGCTGTGCATTTGATTGCTGCAGCAGCTCAAACTTTAGGTCACAACGTGGAAGACATAGCAGTCAACCGGAAGACAATTCGACAATCAAGAATGAAGTTGAGAGTTCAGTCTTTTAAGTCTGCCAAAGAACAATTTATACTTAATCTTGATCCAACAATCCCTCTTGTTGTTCATTGGGATGGAAAGCTACTTCCTGAAACAGCTGGTGGTAAAGAAACTTATGATCGATTGCCAATCATTGTGTCCTATGAAGAGAATGAACAATTGCTGAATGTATCAAAGTTGCCCAATGGAACTGGTGAAGCGATGGCTAATGCTGTGGTTGAAGTGGTCAAAGATTGGAAATTAAAAGACTATATAGTGGCAATGTCTTTTGACACTACAAGCAGCAACACTGGACGCCACACTGGGGCCTGTAAGCTCATCGAAATTAAACTGGAGAAAAATCTCCTATGGTTGCCATGCCGTCATCATGTGCATGAGGTTGTGATCGGTGGAGTATTTGACCGTGTAATGGGTCCATCAACTGGGCCAGATATACTTGTTTTTAAGAGATTTCAAGCATTTTGGCCCAACATTGTGCAGAGTGACTACAGTACAGCTGCCACTGATCAAGAAATGGATTTGGTTGTGACTGAAAATCGAGAAGGTCTGCTGAAAAATGCATTGAGCTTCCTTAATGATAATCAGCCACGGGAAGACTATAGAGAATTACTCGAATTGGTTGTTATATTCCTGGGAGGAACTCCACACCGCAAGATATCTTTCAGGAAGCCTGGGGCCATGCACAGAGCCAGGTGGATGGCAAAGCTGTTGTATTCCTTCAAAATATGGATGTTCCGGTCACAATTCAAGTTGACAGCCCGAGAAGTCAAAGGACTCGGTAGGGTGGTTCGATTTGCTGTCCTTGTATACTTTAAAGCATGGTTCCTGGCTACTTTGCCAGTTCAAGCTCCAGCAAATGACCTGCTCTTCCTGAAGAAGATTTCTGACTACACAAAAGTTGACAAGGAGGTTTCAGAAGAGGCTTGCCGCAAATTTATCAATCATCTGTGGTACCTCAATGAAGAAGTTGTTGGCTTTGCGTTCTTTGATATGAATGTTGGTGATGAAACAAAGCAGAGGATGGTGGACAGTCTAAAAAAGGCTCAAAATGGTAACCGCATGAAGGCAGTGGTTAAGCCTCAAGACGTGAATGACATTCACCTTGAAGATTTTGTGTCTTGTGCAACAAGTAAATTTTTTGACATGCTCAATCTTCCAACTGACTTTCTACAGTTGTCCCCATCTTTGTGGCAAACTAATGCAGGTTATTGCAAAGCACAAAAGAAGCTCAAGACAATGAAAGTGGTTAACGATGTGGCTGAGAGAGGTGTGGCACTCATCCAAGATTACATCCATGTAATAACAAAGGATGAGGAACAACGCCAATTTCTACTCCAGGTGGTCAGTGATCATCGAAAGAACTTTCCAAACTCTCTAAAAAGGACTGTAATAGAGGCACTCAAGAAGAATGACCTGTGTTGCTAAATTTAATTGATTTTGCTGTATTACAACTATTAACAACTAACTGTATTGATATTGACTATGTATTGTATACGATTTACACATTTACCGGTACTTGTTCAATATAAAAACTAGATAGTCTTTGTGGCACCTCTAAATTTTATCCAAATTTTAAAAAAAATGACAGATCATTGTTTTAATAGTATACACACACTTAGGCAGGGTGGTCGTTGAAATTTAAACCCAAAAAAATTTCGGGACCACCCTAATGGAGACTACATTAATTGGATTAAGCAGAGGAGGAGACAGGGCTGTCGTATGTCCGGGTTGTCATAAGTCGAGGAGAGACTGTTTTTTATCAATAAAGTGCTTGCATATATGTTTTTATTCATATTTTATTTCATGTACTGTATATGCTTACTACTGTACTAGAAAAATGTAATAATGTGTATTTTATCAATAAAGTGGTTGTAGTATATATGTTTTTATTAATTTTGTATTCACATTTATGCTGTTACTTTTTTCCAGTAAATTGATACTGCCACTTATACTTTTTTGTAGCAAAATTTGTTACTTTTTCTTGTTACTTTCTTTCCGATCACCGCTGCCGCCACATGGTCCGCAGCTGCTGCCTCGCCTCTGAATCTTACGTTGTGCAATGAATAGGTATTAGGCAGCTACCAAACAGGGAGGTACTACCGCCTGGGAAGATATTGGAAGCATAATATATTGTCTAATGGTAGACCCTGCTGCCATATGGCATCACGAAAATTGTGACCACGTCCCAGGTTGCTGATCTGACTTTCTGCCTCATTTACATACAATTGTAGGGTCTCAATTGTTTCTCTTACCATTGACAACACAACATACATATATTGTTTCTCACTCTTGATCTTTTTTCATTTTGTGTTTCTTTATGGTTCTTTAATATTATTGTTATTATTATTATTATTATTATTATTATTATTGTTATTATTATTATTATTGTTATAGTTATTGTTATTATTATTATTATTATTATTATTGTTATTGTTATTATTATTATTATTATTGTTATTATTGTTATTATTGTTGTTATTATTATTATTATTATTATTATTATTATTATTATTATTATTATTATTATTATTATTATTATTATTACCCCCCTAGGCCCCAATGTGGGTCAGTGACCTGTGCCTGGGTGGGCTAATCCCCATTAAAGAAAGAAAAAAAAAAGCTCCTGCTTCCTTGGGAAGGTGTAGAACCTGAACATGTATCCTGGCTGAAATGTTCATAAAGACTCGCTGCTTTATCACGAATAACCTTTTGGTTGACTGGCACATTTTTCCGACTCATGTCCTCAATCCATACACTAAACGCCATCTCCAACTTCTCCATACCTTTATCACGTATTTGATGTGTAAATTTAGCACTGTGCGGTGCACTATGAGCAACACTACTTCTTATTTCCTTGCCTTTCATCTTTATGGAACGAACAGTTGACTCGTTCACTCCAAATGCACGGCCGACCGCTGATGCACTCATGTAGCTATCAGGTTTATCTAACACTTTATTTTCTATGTCCGAGTCATGACTTTCTTCACTCTCTTTGTACCAGATGCACTACCACCAGTTAATGGCCTTTTGGGAGCCATGACAGTTATAATTAAAGTTAGAATTGCCCTCAGATGAGACTAGAGGGTGATGCAGGAGAACTCTCAGACGAGATTGCCTGGAGAACACAGCTGCACGGGATGCAGCGTGACATCATGACGTCGCATCATGGTGGACGCCCATGGTGTTTGAAATAAGCACCTTGCCTTTTTATGTTATTTTAATAGATAAAACCTCCCAGGCTCGTTTCACAGATAGTCAAAATCGCAAGAGTTGAATTTGCGTATGTTGCGGTACTGGTGTTCTTTCGAAAATTAACCTTGTTCTTTTTTTCCAGCAAATTCTTTTATCGGTTTATGTTAGCACACACTTGCTGCCAGTACCTTTTCAATGGAGAGCATAGCCAGTCCACTCAATTTCTCTTGAGACATAGTTGTCCTTAGATACAGTAGCTTTTTATCAATTTACTCCTCTAATGTCACTGTAACTGTCACCTACATGTTACACTAATTCTGCATTTGGGAAGGAATCATTGAGAGATTTTAGAAACTGAAGGACTTGAAGTGCATTTTTTGTTCCTTTGGGAAGGTGTTATTGGAGTACTCCAAACTCTGAAAACAACTCGGCTTCATCAATATCATGAGAATTTCCAACACTCGGTGACTTGACAAAATCAGAGTTGTGCTCAGCTAGTTACTGCACAGCTGCTATAATAAGTGTTAGAACCAAACGCCAATGTTCCTTTTCTTTATTCAAGTCTTGTAACATGTGTATCTATGATATTCATTGAGTATGGACCTTCTTTTCACCTCCAACCATTTGGTTAAGTTGAAGAAGTGTTCAATTGATGACTCATGATAATTTAGTCTCACTAAAATGCTTCCAATCAGCATAGCCTTCATTAACTAGTTTGTGTTGTATTTGAACTGTATAATTACAAACCAGGAGAGTACGAGGCTTGGGGCGGCCAGACTCGCCACCCGCTTGGGACAGCGGTTCTGAGTGCCGTAGTTATGAAAGTCATAGTTGTATGCATATTTTTTGTGCTGTAGGTGAAATTTAAGCAAATGTGACCTCCATAATACCGAATAATCACCTTATGAGCTGGACATGTGGTCCCTATCCCAATCTTGAACTGTGTTGTTCCTGTATAATACTGTTCTCTACTGTACAGTACTGTACTTAGTTTTATATTAATGTATGTTTGTTTAAGCTAAGATTTATTTTCAGCATTTTACAAAAAAATTTGATACCTGATTGATTTCATCAAAATTTGATATTTAGCATTTTAGTATAAATGCTCAGGCCAGTTTTTGTGCTTATGGAAATGTGGAATTTGAAGTAGCTTCATAGTCTGCTTTATGATGCTGAAAATTGTTTGGTAAACTGAAGTAGTGCTTTTTGCTGACTAGATTACACATCTTAAAATGTAACTCTTTTGTTTCATCAGGCTTCATACAGTCAAGAGGATGACGAACATTACCGCGGGGAATTTGGAACTGGCTATGTGGTGGGATCCTTCCCCAAAGATTTTGTGTATGGACCAGATGACCCTGACCAAGATTTGACTCCTATTTTTGCACCAGATCAAAAGCCCAAAATCTTGCTCATGGGCCTTAGGAGGTATGTAAATAAGTACTGTACAGGTAGTAGGTTTGAAATTGTGGTTTTTGAGATGATTAATTCATTTTCCTTGCTCTTGCACAGAAATGATGTTACAGTGAATATCACACAACTGTTGTTACACAAGTATTTTTAATTTCTGTGGATGGTTAACCTATTTGTAGTTTCTATGACAAACAATTAGAAATGCAGAGTTGTAAAAAGTACTGGACTTTGTTACTTAAGTAAAAGTACTGTTACATTGGCAAAATGTTACTCAAGTAGGAGTGCTGTACGTAAAAGTATTGAAATGTCAATGTACTCAAGTAAAAGTTTAAAAAAGTATCTCAATCTAAAAGTATCAAGTACTGAAAGTAAAAAGTAAAAAAAAAATATTTGTCTTAAATATTAAAAAATAAGTCCACAGTAAATTATAAAAAAAAAGTTAAGTAAAGATAAAAATGAAAGACACATGGCATTATACATGTTTATTTTCAAGTCTTTCTATTGAGATTAATCAATAACTGATTCTTGAAATTATGGCTGTCCATTCAGGATCTTTTAGGCCTAAATATACAGTAAGCCCAATATGACCTACCAAAAGAGAATACATTCAGCAGCTCTTCTCCCTACAATCCATCACAGGGATAGTGAATGGGCTGAAATTATATCCATCCAACAGTTTGATCACTTTCTTCATTATCCACACAAGTATCGTCGTCGTGGACTTATGGGCTGCAGACATAATGTTGTCTCTGCTAGTACTTGTATTAGGTTAGGATACAAACTTATCTGGCAAGTATCTGAGGTGGGGGATGACCCACACTTCTCTTCCTGTAAACTCTGTAACTGTCCCAGTGCTAACATCCTTCAACACTACTATATTGCCATGACTGTCCCACTGTCAGGGACCTCCTACCACAGGGAGAGTCACTAACCACTATATGTCACCACCAACTTATTCGTAATAATTTAGATTTAACTCTTGTACGCTACCCACGCTTTGGTGTGTGCCAATTCCCATTGTCCTTAGATCATATCAATATTGTCTCCATATCAAAAGTCACAGCGTGTCCTGCGAGACACGAGTACCAATGTATTAGTGTTTGACCGCAGGTTCTTGTGACTAGGCTTGTCGCCCCCTGGGGTGTAATAAATTAATCTGCCCAGCAGGACTAAACAGATGCTCACAAGCAGCAGCTGCAGGTAGTGGGGTGTTAAGCTTCAGAGATGAGTCACATAATGTTGGGAAAGACGTCAATAACTCCATTCCATCCCCTGGGCATGCCAAGTAGATATCATGCTCCTTCAGTTGAGGAGTTTGTGGATGAATATTGCCTCCATAGTGAATGAGTCTGACTAAAACCCATTGTGAACTACCCTCAAATTGGGGTATGGCTCTGGTGATGTTACTTTTCGATTTTAATTGATGAATGGCTGAATTTTTCACACCACGTAACATCTGGCAGGGGGGGGGGGGCGGCAGTGGTACTTAGTTATTTAAGCAGAATTTTATATACACTCAGTCTCACACATATGAATAGATATAGGCTTTATATCTAAAATGGAATTATGTAAAGCATTTTAGAATTACAGCTTCTTTGAAATTCATCTTAGATACAGGTACAGTAAACCTTCGATAGCTCGGCACATATGGGGCTCTGGCCTTGCCGAGTTATCCCAAATTCCGACCTATCAAGGCACTTTCCCCCTCCTACAAAAATACTACAAAAAAAATTATCGACCCATATATGTGTTCATGTAATTACTAAATGTAAAAAAAAAATTACTAGCACAGCAGGCAAAGATTGAAGCATCATAGTAGGAAACACAGATGCATGGTAGGTGACACAGAGGTATGGTAGGTGAAGCAGAGGCTTGGTAGGTGAAGCAGAGGCATGGTAGGTGACACAGAGGCATGGTAGGTGACACTGAGGCATGGTAGGTGATGCAGGTGGCCAAATGTGCCTAGGTTTTCCCAGATAATTTTATATATCAAGGCATTTCTCGAGTTATACTATAATATATTCCAAGACCATATCCATGTCGAATTATAGGAAATTCTGAGTTATCAAATGCTGAGTTATTGAGGGTGTACTGTACAGTCAACCCTCACTTTACGCGGTCCCACATTCCGCGTTTCCACGTTTACGCGGTGCCCTGCCAGAACCCAGGATGCTCACATTCCGCGGTGGGTGTACCCCTTTACGCGGGTGAAGTATAATTTTTTTATTTAGCTCATAAAATTCATACAAATTATCCAGCCAGAATATAATTTACATTGCTGGAATTCTTACAATTTGATGATCATTTTGAATATAAACATCATAGATTTTGCATTAGACATACAAATTTTAGATATAATGTTTACTCTGAATAAATATGTTATCTTTTGTGCAAAATATATGACATTTATATTCAAAATATCCTGGTCTTACAAGGAATCCAGCAATGTCAATTATATTATCCTAACTTTAGTCTGATTTATTATTTATTACTAAAAAGGTAAACAGTCTGGTATTCCCACACATTTATCTGGTGGGGGGGAGGGAGGGAGGAAGGGACCGGTGACCGACCACCTGGCATGTGTGAAGAATATTTTTTTTTTATTAACTGAAGATATTTGTTTTAGCTCATAAAATTCATACAAATTACCCGGCCAGAATATAATTTACATTGCTGGAATTCTTACAATTTGATGATCATTTTGAATATAAACATCATATATTTTGCATTAGACATAAAATTTTTAGATATAATGTTTACTCTGAGTAAATATGTTATCTTTTGAGCAAAATATATGACATTTATATTCAAAATATTCCTGGTTTTACAAGGAATCCAGCAATGTCAATTATATTATCCTAACTTTAGTTTGAGGTATTTATTACTATACCTGGTTTTCCCCCCAAAATTTCTCAAGAGGGAAGAGCCAGCGAGTGTAGTGTGAGAAGAGGGGGAGGGAGTCAGTCCAATTATTTGAATGGACATTAACTTGGCGACTGTATTTCTCTATTTCTCTTAAGTATTAATTGTGTGCATGTACCATCATAAAATTAAGATGTTATTTTTACAAGAACATAGGTATTGTGTTGGAAAAAGTGGAGTTTGGGGGTCAGCTGGTCTCTATTTCATTTAATCCCATATGTTATGTTATTCACTTTACGCGTTTCTCACTTTCCGCGGTACCCTGTGGGTTACATTAACCGCGTAAAGTGAGGGTTGACTGTATATGCAAATAACAACTGATGTCTAATGGGAAGCCCAAGTCCCTGAAGGAAAGGAAAGTGAAGAGGTTCAATCTGGGAGGGGTGATAAGAGAGTAGGCGAGGGGAGGTGGGTGGTCAAGGTGCTAATGGACACAAGAAGATCAAAGGGAAAGTCTGCTGTTGTGGCCGCTGCCACCTGATGTAACCTGACTTCACCTCACCTCACGAAACCTCTAGGTATGTGACAGCGTGGTGTCTCCCCACACCCACACCGTACCCTTCATGGCTCCACTCACACCATACCCTCCACCCACACAACTCTTTTACTATGGTTAGTATTTAATGAATTAATTAAAAATGTTAATAGTTTGTAACAAACATTAAAATTCTTTGTTTTGGGGCATGTAACGAGTAGCGATTTTTATTTTTTCAGTTGTATTGGAGTAAAATTATTAGAAAACCACACTTTAGTGAAAGTAAAAGTACGTATCTGTGCTAAAAATCTTAGTACAGTAGAACGCCGATTTAAAGCGATTCAATTTAAGATTATTGATTTAAAGCGACACCCACAATTAAGGACAATGTTTTAATTTAAAGTGAATCTTTCATATTTTGCTCGGGTCAATCTGGCATGCTACACTGTCCTAAGGGCAAAGCTGCACTGTACATATACTCAAAATAATGTACTAAGTGATTACTAAAATTTTTGTCTTGTGCAAACTATAGCATGTTTATATTTAAATTAATCACTATCTTATAAGAATTCCAGCAATGTAAATTATATTCTTCCCGGTCACTTCTGCGACATTTTATAAGCAAAAAACATAAACTCAAGCTAAGGGACATAAATAAACAAAAAATACTTCACTAGACCTTCGGCCCCAACTGTCAAACATGTCACTGTCGCTCCCCTCCCTCCCTCCCTCCCTCCCTCCCTCCCTCCCTCCATCTTCCAAGCCAGGGTTTGGTGTTTTAGGTTTAAAGTTTTTATTGTATATAATGTCACAGACTAAAGTTAGGAGAATATAATTTGTATTGCTGGAATCCTTGCAAGACAGCGAATAATTTGAATGTAAACGTCATATACAGGTTGTACCTCTCTAGTCCGGCAACCTCGGGACCTGACCGATGCCGGACCATGGAAATTGCCGGACCATGGAAATTGCCGGACCATGGAAATTCACCCTTTTCCTGGATAGATAGTGACTTGTGCTTATGCCTGGAAGCACTAGCACCACTTTCTCTGCGTCATGGTCTCTTTGAAGACATATTGAAGGGTTAAATGTCGTATAGTAGCTTCTCAAATTTCGCGAGTTTTTAATTCTTAACGTATTTTATTGGAACACACAAAAAATAAATAAATAAAAATTTTGACGGCGGAAACTTGAATTTCGACGGGTTTGAACGGCCCGCCAACGTGCAGACGACGTGCATAATCGTGTAAACAGCGTCATTTCTCTTATGTACAAAAGATTCATTATTGTTTATTACTGAATGTCTTTTTTATTGAATTAATGTTTATATGTGCAAAATGAGCAATACAATTCATTAATAATACGTAGAAAATTAAAACACATGAGGAAATGACACAGCATTGTTTTCGTTGATTACAAAACCAGTGACTGACTGGTTCTACATATAAAACTGAAGAAAATAAGACCTTGGTTGTAGCTGTAGTAAAATTAATATGGTTGTTTTAAGTAATGTTATTTAATGTTAATAAATGTAACAATAGAAGTAGCTAACGATAATGGTAAAGAAAAAGAGAGATCGCATATGTAAGTGCGCATGCGCACACGTGAAAACATATCG